CTTATAACACCTTATAACCCCTACAAATCTCTAATTTCCATTATTTTTAAGGGAACTGTTTATTTGCACACTTAACTCTGGCATAAGCACTCAAGATCTTGTTGAAAAGTTCCCAACTCTGCAGTCTGACCAGAAAGTATATAGTGTACCAGAATAATATTCAGATTCCGGATAATAAGTGGATTCCAAATACTTACTGTATGGTGCGTGGTACTTGGACAACACTTTATGCGTTCACCAGATATCTGGACCGGATAGTGAGATAATCTTGTTATCTGCTATCCTGCCGGATATATAAAATATCTTTTTTATTCAAATATTTTTTTTATTCAAGGTTCAGGAACCAATATCTGGCTGTCCAGCCAGATAACAACACAAGGATCACTTACAGCTTTCAAAAAAATATAAATCACTGGGTTTTTTTGAGCGGGTGGGCACAATAAACAACAATTTATGTTGTTTATGCAGCCATATTTGTTTCACTAATCTGGATTTTTATAAGAGTGAGAGCTATACAATAAAATCCTTCAACTCACTCCAAGTCGGCAGGATATTTTTCAACTGTGGTTTCTTGCACTTCACTTGGTGGAATTAATATTAGAATGTTAGGGTTTGTAATCCCAAGTGATTATATACATTTTAAGACCTGACCAGGAACGACTGCGAAAAATGCAGCACAAGGTCCTCTGGTAGGAATTGAACCTACGGCCCTGCGATTCCGGTGCAGCGCTCTAACCAACTGAGCTACAGAGGCCAGCTGTTGAGCTGTAACCGTAAGTTCATGTATATATAGGTAATCGGGTGTACGGGTTGTGATAAGGTGGACTTGAATGATGTGGTTTCTTGCACTTCACTTGGTGGAATTAATATTAGAATGTTAGGGTTTGTAATCCAAGTGATTATATACATTTGATTATATACATAGATTATATACATTATAAATGTATATAATCACTTGGATTACAAACCCTAACATTCTAATATTTTTCAACTATCTGGCATATCCGTATCTGGCTAGATAAGTGGATAGCAAAGTGCTCTATCCGGGGCACCCTTACACTACTTAACTATTTTACTGGGATATGAATCTGCCCATTGAGAAACTACCTATCAGTAGTCTAAAGACCGGCGCACACTAGAGCTATGTGCTTAGCAAAATGTCATTCGTGACTGTTGGCGTAAGGAGATAGCTCTCGTGTGCGGGCGATTTACGAACGACTTTTGTCATTCGTGCCACTTACGCCAAATATCTAACATGTTTGATAATTTCTGCCTCGCGTGCCAAAATCTTTCCGTGTGCGGCGAACGAAAGCTATCTGCTTACGGATTGTCGTACCAGCGCATGCGTAGTATACGAAAGTAAACATCCAAGATGGCGGCGCAAAATGAATTGCTGGCCGAGGCAATTTTAGAGGACAAACTTGTCGAACTTTGGCCTGAATATAAATGTTTATACGATGTGAGTTCTGCAGATTTTAGAAATAGGGACAAAAGGGAATGTGCGGTGAAAGAAATAGCCAGTAAGTTTGTCCTCTAAAATTGCCTCGGCCAGCAATTCATTTTGCGCCGCCATCTTGGATGTTTACTTTCGTATACTACGCATGCGCTGTTACGACAATCCGTAAGCAGATAGCTTTCGTTCGCCGCACACGGAAAGATTTTGGCACGCGAGGCAGAAATTATCAAACATGTTAGATATTTGGCGTAAGTGGCACGAATGACAAAAGTCGTTCGTAAATCGCCCGCACACGAGAGCTATCTCCTTACGCCAACAGTCACGAATGACATTTTGCTAAGCACATAGCTCTAGTGTGCGCCGGCCTTAAGTCTTCTAATAAGCACCCCGCTCTGCTTCTTTGAGCAAAACAGTATAGTGGAGGCCCTGAGGAAATGTCAATTGAACTAGGCAAGTCCAAAACTACTTCCCCACCATCTGACCAAGACGACTAGAATGTGACAGATCTGCATTGGATTGACCTGGAGTCTGGACTCACCACACCTAATCCCCCTCCACATGTTGTCACTGGTCATCTTCAACAAAAATGGATAAAGAACAACAACCTTCTCTCTAATAGAGTCCTATTTTTGGAGGTAGAAATTTATGAAGCCGGAAGACAAGGGAAGGGAAGGGTCCCTCCCTTATGTATTGATTAGATATGTTATTTTGCCTGGAATTTTATGTAAATGTATTGCATTTCTGGTACTGTTTTCAGACCCCCTCTCTATAAATTCTCCCTCTCCAATAAGCCGCCCACCCCAATTAGTGCACCAGGGTCAATAGAGGATTATGATAATATATTCTTAATATTTTGTAATTAAAGAGGCTGTCAAATCCGTTCTGCTCATGCGCGTGTTTTGTTTACATTTTTCTTCAAACAATAGATAATTTAATTAAATTTCCGATCTGTGGGCCCACAAGTTAGCTCATTACGCATTCAGAATATATTATGCAAGGAATCGAAAAATTGAGCTACTAAAGCAAAAATTTAGCCCCAAAACAGTAAATTTTAAATCGAAAACGCTAAGAAGCACTTCTCACAGACGTATAGACAAAACTTGAATGAAGTTTGTACAAATTTAGCTTCAAAACGACAAATCAGTTTAAGACTGAAAATGTTAAGAAACACATCTTACAATGATATGGCCAAAATTTGTGCAAATTTCAATCCAATTTTGTCCAAGCATCTGTAAGAATTGCTTCTTAGCGTTTTTCGTTTAAAATGCAAAGTAATTAATCATGCATAACTTAAATTTTAGGCAAAAGTGTCAATCATATCTCATTGTCTTGGGATGAAATAATTCGCCTTAAAGATAAAACTCATTTTGATGAAACAGAAATCCAAACTCTCTATGAACAATTTAAGACACTGGCACCTGAAGAGAAGGGCATCACGAGAGAGGCATTTAACCAATGTTTGGGACCACTCGGTAGACAAACTAATTTAGTAATGGACAGAATGTTCTTGTTTTATGATCAAAATGAAGATGGTGCAATCTCATTCGAAGAATTCGTCTGTGCCCTCTCTGTTTTGGTAAAAGATGGTCGAGATGAAAAACTGAAGTTTGTATTTGAAGGATATGATTTAGACAAGAAAGGTTATTTAGTGTACAAGGACTTTCACGATATGTTCAAAGCATATTTTAATGTAAGCATTGAGCTGGTAAGAGATTACATAAAAGGTTGCGAAGAAGAAATGAGGGCTACGTTTGATGAAACTGCAGATAAACCTGTTTCGTCTGTGTTTCATGCGCCCATCCCCAACGACGTGGGCAGTGCTTCTGGTGTAGATATCAAATCTCTTCACCAATTGCGGTCTGGGACAGGTGGCAGTGGTGGTGCTCAGCCATTGATGGAGGCTATGTCGCAAGATGCTATTGATGAGATGGTTGCCAATGTTTTCAAATGTGCCGACTTGGATGCGGATGGAAAGATCACTTTTGACGAGTTTAAAACGTGGGCTGTTTTAGATAACACTATCTTAGCATGGTTTGATGCCCTTGGAACTGTATTTTGATTTGGACTTGTAGCTCTTGTACAATCGAAACAATATTCACCTAATCCCGTAGTAGAGCCGGCTGTATGAATCTCTTATCCGTCGCAAATAGTGAACAAATAATACATTATTATTGTAAGTATTATATAGTATATTAATTAATAGATTTAATTTACAATATAGCCACATATCTACATATCTGAGCATGCCATATACCTATACGAGACGGGGACAGTTGCTGCCCCCCCCCCCCCGCCAGAAAAATTGAAGTTGGCAATATTAAACGTAAATTGGGCAAAAAGAGGGAGGAAATAAATTGAAAAGCAAGAAATATGTAAGATAATAGTCGAAAATGCAAGAAATATGTTATGTTGTCAAAAGAAAATGCCCCGCGTTGACAAATTTATTTATCCCCGCCCCCTCTTTCCCCCTGCCGTGCCCCTATGTATGTTTTTTTGGCCAAAAAAGGTGAAATTTGTGTATTTGGTGGATGTATGTTTTTTGGCCAAAAAAGGTGAAATTTGTGTATTATAAGGTATATCAGACGGTTTGGCCAAAACTAGTATGTCATCAACATATCTTATATAGAATTTTATAGTTTCGTTTTCGAAAAGGTCTTTTATCCGACTTTAGCTAACATCATCATCATGATCGCATTAGAAGACGAAATAATAAAAGACCTTTTCGAAAACGAAACTATAAAATTCTATATAAGATAAGCTATATGTTCTATGCTGCTTGAAAACTGCGTGTAAGATAGATTTTTGAAGTTCTAGGTTACCTGTAGGAAATATATGTATATACTATTATTATTTTTATATACACATGCAAGTTAATGTTTTACCGACTGTTTTAAGGGAGCGAGTCTCGATCAATATAAAAGGGTCCCTTTTATAATGAACATACACGTACATTATTTTCCATATACAATTCTTGCATGCTGATCCTGACAAGGTTGTTTCTTGTTTTTCTATTTCTCTTTTCAAGTTTATTCGACACCAGTACTGTTCCTAATGCAATAAGTACCCTACAATAGGTAGCTACCACTGGTAGCTACCCTTTTACTATCCCCCACAATTCTGCCAATTTCGCTTTTTAATTCTTGACATTTCTTGTACTTTTTCATAAATTCTGCTATCATAAATTCTGCTGCATTGTCTATTATCTTGCATGCCTTGCTTCATTGTTTATTTACTATTTATTTAGCTTTTGCCAACTAGGGCAGGGTCACCACAGCAGCATATGCCAAATACAGTGGGCCCTTTTTATCTAATCCACCCTGTCAACTTTCCCTGTGCCTGCAGTGGGAGGAAACAAGAGTTCCCGGAGAAAACCCACGACTTTCGGCACAGCGTTGACTTTTGCTCGTTTAACAGAGGACTGGATTCGAGTCGCATTGAGAAAGTTCTCACTGAGATTTGAACCTGCGATCTCAGAGGTGAAAGGCAAGTGCGCTAACGGCCGCTAACCACTTCGCCACAGAAGATTGTCTATCATACTCTCTCTCAATTTCTGCTAGCTATACTAGCTGGCTAAAAATGCTAGCTATACCATTTTCCCAGCTAAGACTTTAGAAACTTTTAGACTTAGAAAACCTTCTATATGTTCTTCTCGTGCATGCCGCCTGCATGTATCCGAGTAAATTAAGGCTCTAGGTCCGGGCTGCCATTTTACTTTCTTGCTAGCCGTTGATCACATGCCTTTTCTTGTACTGTAATTTCTGATGTTGTTTACTTTATCAGCTTTATTGGACATAAAAATTATAGATTACAAGGTCAACGTCGAATAGGGCCAGTGCAAACGGGAAAACGAGACCCATGCAAGGCACAACCCCTAACTAAAGTATGACTAGATTACAAAAAGAAAAAAAAAAGATCATCTATATATACAGTACAGTACAGTATAGGGGCCGGTTGTATGAAGGCCGAAATATATATTCATTTCCATTCAGCGTGACTCATATCGCAGCAGGTAAACGTACTTAAAACTTTTGTAAATTACATTTAAATTTCCTATGCAAAACAATTTTGTTCTCAGTGGGAAACAGAGTTGTTCTTAATGCAAAACAAATTTGTTCTCAATGACAATGCAAAACAAATTTGTTCTCAATGCAAAACAAAGTTTCGCCTAATTCAAGCAGCAGTTCTGACACCATCGCCATGCCTAGTTCAAGTCCACTGCCCTTTTTTACGCTGTCTAACTGCATTTAGGTCGCATTTCGAGTATTGATCACCATATCTACTAAATTTGTAGACCACATTACTTTGTAGATCTTTCAGGGTTCGGTCTTTCAACTTAGAAAGGTGTTTGTGGTGTAGTGTCGTAGCTAGATTGTAATAAATTTAGCGCGCTGTTTGAGCAACGATTTTACAAATGAATCAATATATTATCCTAAACAACTGTAGAATATTAGATAAATCTAGACATTGTCATTTGACCCTGGAAACGGTCAATTTTGAACAGCTCAACGCGCGTTGCGAACGCAATGTCTGATGAATTAACATTAATTCTGCATAATTATAGTTCAACCAATCACAATTGGTCCCAACTTTTCATGGGAAATTCACGTGACCATACAAGCTTCATGCCACGGATTCGCAGACTATATATGTCATTATATAGTCTTCGCGCAGGCTAGCCTCCCCGCCGTCCGCCAAGCCAAGCCAATTACACTTATAACCAAAACTTTTGTGCAATGGTTGTAGTTTTGTCTCCAGTTACAACCCAATCCTTTATTGCATACAATGGCATTACAACGCCAATAAACTATTGGTTACAACGTGCGGAACGGGTGCAGCGCTGTGCATATTCATAGTCATAAGGCATGTATGAGCTCATCAGAACTACAATTTTGCCATTCCTATATAAACCAAACACCAATTTTTTGAAAATGGAGTAGTGACATGAAATTCAATACCAATTGAAGTAAGGAAATCCAACTCAACCTAAAAAATTTCAAAAATAAATTATAGTGAATAGTAATCTGTTCTGTAAATTTTATTGTAAATAATTTAGATACACACGGCGCCCGTGCCTAAATAAAGTCATTTAATTAATAACAACAATAACATATCGGTAGAATGTACAGCTTGATACAGCTGGACAGATGTAGTGCTGATATCATGCTGATACTATTATTCCACATGCATCTGTCATTCGTTTTGTTTTCCAAGCGCGAGCATTAACTTTATCTTGAATTGAAACTATATAGGAAACGAAAATATCAGTTCATAATCCTTGAACGTGAAACAATGGAGAAGACAACATTCGATGTCTATAAATATTCCGGCGTTGTACTACTTTTATTTGGGATTATCGGTAATGGTTTGGTAATCATGTCGATACTAAGACAAAAGGGTGTTTTGAAGAGAAGCTACTACTTTCTTGTTTTACAACTTGCGATCTGTGATCTGGCAACAACGGTCATTTATCTTTTGGATCATGTCAACCTTGAATTTCAACCACTTTTTGATACTTCCGTCAAGTATTGTGTTGGTATAAAGATAAGTTACGTCTTTCAAGTGGCAGGAATAGGTATGATGTTGATAATTTCAGTACTTCGTTATCGTGCTCAGGTACATCCCTTGAAACACGCCATCAGTCGACGGAAACTGAAAGTCGCTTGTAGTGTGGTGTACATTGCTGGTCTCATTGCGGGCTATGGACCATTTTTGCCTCTATGCTTTATGCGGCATAATGTCGTAAGGGTGGTTTATGAGAGATTTTACTATGCATACATAATTATATTTTTCTTTTATTTTGCTCCGACAATATTTATGACAGTAGTTTATTGTAAAATAGGTCAAACACTCGTCAAGCAAAACAAACTCCTGAAAAGCATGTTATGTTCAAATCCAGTGACACAAAGTACGTCCAGCTCTTATTTTGAAAACTTGAGATATATTCGAAATCGACGAGCTTTTCTTGTTTGCCTCATTACCGTTCTTTGTTACGGAGTTGGAATTATTCCCTCTTCTGTGTGGTTCATATTGAATATCGCTAGTGAATATGATCTACGAATGAAATATGTTTGGATAGGCATTTTGCTAATGTTCTTAGAGTTGCCGGTTCGCATTAAGTAAATCCTTTTATCTATGGAATGTTGGACAAACAATTGTTCACGTTTTGGACAGTGTTCCGCAAGAAGAAATGGGGGGACCACAGAAGTAGGCTTGTACCAAGTTGATCAACACCTTCACAGCTCGTTTGCCTCGTATATGGACGATTGTCATCCTTCCCAGGATGAGATGATTATCTGCTTCGCTTAATTAATACCGCAGTCAGAAACAAAAAATGATGAACTGATGTACCGCATCTTGTGAAGGAATTTAGATTTAGCTTTACATAAAAATTACTGTAAAGATGCATGCATTTACTTTTGACCAAACTTTATTTATGGAGTTTTAGACAGTTTCTTGAGTATTTATTGATTATTAATTAACCGATCTATCGATCATTGACTTATATCGATTATCTTGATAGATATTGAAGATAATTTATTTCATTTAGAGGAGTCATATACCATTATTGAACCCAAAAATACTTCGAGCGCATCCGAGATAAAAATTTAAAGACTGAACTTAATTCGAATTCCAACATTGAAATGGCTTATCATACTAAGGTTGTCATATCAAAAACTCATTACCAGAAAAACGCGACATCTGATTGCGCAACACCTCAAGCGCACGTATCCAATTGCTTTGAATCGCAACAAAAGAAAGCAATACATTATACATTGTAAATATCAGAGAATATTAACCACCAAATCCAGATGATCTTGATACGCGGAAAAGTACTGGCACTAGTTGTCAAATAGAAATCCATTTCGTGATTAAAACAACTGAATATCTCCTGTAATATACTTTATTTCGATTCCATATTTTTGTCAGAGCTATAGTTCTCATAACCAAACATAATTACAAAATTTCAACTAGTTTCATAAAGAATAACGAAAGATATAATTGACTGAATACATCAAAATGGATTTCTATTCGGACAACCTTTTCTGAGCGCTGATTGGCTATAATACGAACACGAGATAACCTGGATAGTTACCGTATACTATAAATCGCGACTTGTCCCCTGCGAATTTTATGAAATTCAGTTTTCTATAAGGCGTGACTGTATAATTAGGGAGTTTAAGCTTCGCGTTTCCGGGAACAGCAAACGGCATGCAGGTTCAAACTTTCACTTGGCAAAATTTTCGTTGAACGTTTTCGTTTCATATTTTCTTTCTTGCGTCGAAAGAATAATTATGTATTTCAGTTTTAAAACAGCAAGTTCACTTACTCTTTATTGCCTGATACTGTATTTTTTTTCTTTGCCTGGCGTTTGGTGTATAACGCGAAGCTTAAAGTCTCTAGCTAGAAATAGTTTACACTAAAACTTCCCCGGCTGATTATGGTGTACTATACTACTATTTAGCTGTTATTAAAATGATCATGCCTTATGGTTTACAAATATCAATACGACAAAATATTATTACTACTTTCTGGCTTTCTTTTAAAACGCTTAGAAGGTTGATAAAATTGGACGAAGTTTAAAAATGAAACAGTAACCACAGTAACCACGTGTAACGTGGTCCTTGTGCGTCCATCCGGCTGAAGGAATGCCGCTTTTCAATATAATGGAACAATGACTATGAGTCCCTTGTTACAAACGTTTTATAATGTGACCGTTGTGTGTTAAGCTTTGCTCGATTTTTTATCAGTTTGTATTTGTTTTTGACTGACTGATGTGTGAACCGAGTCTTTTGGTTCCTGTTTCGATTAATGTGACAAATCGTATAGTTGATACTTGATAGACACGGAGTTTTTAATCTTGTGTTACTGTTTAACCACAGTTGTTTAACCTTTAAAGCTTTTCATTATTTAACGGATTGACTCCGTCACCAACAACAGATGATAGTAACAACCTACATGCACCTCACAAGTCTATTAATAGACACGTAAAACAGACCATAGAAATAAAATGCCGTTTGACAAGGTGTTGACCCAAGCGAATAATAATTCTGACAGAAAGCAACCTTCGAACCCTCACCTTTTAAACTTGCGCAGCTACAGCGCTAGGCCAATAATTCACTTACCTTTTATTATAAAATTTGAACCCTCAGCTTTTAAACTTAATTGTGTCACTTGTGGACTTTTACTGTAATATATGAACTCAGTTGCTTCTAATCTTGATAGCTTTAACAATTTATGCTTGGCGGGGACTTCGATATCCCCCATTGTTTTTGCGATATTACCCACCAATGCCTTGCGGGCAAAAAACGTAAAAACTTAAATTTCTTTGCCTCTGGTATATACCGTTGATATCATATTACGTGTGGGGACTTCAATATATGCCTCCTCGGGTTTTGGCCCTCTGGGGCCAGAACCCTGCGTGGGCAATAATACATGTCAAATAGACGACAGTGACTATAAAACAGCCGGAAAAAATGAAATGGACGGACAAAATTTACAAACGAAACTTGAAGTTGCGACTCGAAGTTGTCTAGTATCGTGATATATAAATATTTCGTTCGCTTATCTTATTCCCGTTTGTCCCTCGTAAAATATATTTCAACGCACACGAAAGCGTTCGCAAATCCTCCCTGAAAGGAGCAAATATCTTGCCAGTCATAACTTCTCGAATATTTGGGGTATTTCAAAACTTTAAAGATCGAACTAAAGCTCGTTTTCAAAATTATAGTCTCCATTATGTTTTGTTTATGTTCCGCGGAGCATAAAATAATACTATTCGCCACTGACCAAACCGTTGTGTGGCTTCATGTTTGTGAGACTTCAATACTGTACTTGGGAGCGGTATGCTTCATTTTCCCACGAAATTTAAACAACGCGCCAACTGCAGATACTCAAAATGTCTGAGTATTTGAGCATCCTGCCGAGAAGCAAACAGTAAGTCAGAGATTCAGTATTCTACTCACTGCCAGAAATGAGCGACATAGTGATTACGCAATTACACAATTGATCACCCGTGCCTGATTCCCAATATTTATAGTAATTGTGCAAAACCAAAGGGTCCAAAACCAAAGCGCTAATTAGGTTAGTGCCCAAAATATGTGCGAGAGAAATCTGCAGAAATACGGTGTCCACTGGAAAACATGCTTTATGAAAGTAACCCAGAAACAGTGTTTCCGCAGCGACAAACAGCGCCTTTACAAATTGCGCAGCTGCCGCACTTTCGTTCTCATTTTGATCATTCTTGTCTTGGCATTTCAATTCATCATATGCAAGATAATGCTGTTAATTATGCTCGCAAAACCAAAAATGTACAGTCCGCCGCGAAAAATATTCGTACTGGCGCATCATGGCAAGGCCATAGCAGCCAGTTTTTTGGGGAGGAAAACAATAGGGCCATTTATACGGAACAAAATAAGACGCGACTTACATAAGACGCGACTTAAGTAAGACGCGAGTTTGTCGTATAAAAGGTACAAAATTCTTATGTAAGACGCGTCTTGGATAAGACGCGTCTTACATAAGAACAGGTCTTTTAGCTGTTCTTATTTAAGTCGCGTCTTAAATAAGAAATTTTGGACAAAAGTCTAACTACACATGCCAGAAACTTGAAACAACGTAAAATTTAATGCCTTGCATATTAAAACAAAAACAACCAAAACAACGTTATAGCTATAGCAAATAAATAAGACCAAAGCCGTAGAGAACCATTTATGCGATAACTCCACTTATTTAAGTCGCGTCTTATGTAAGTCACGACTTATTTTGTCACGTATAAATGGCCCTAATATATTATTAATATAGGGAACTTAAGCAAGCGATGTTTCTGTCAACACGGACGTCAGCAGATTGCCAAGGAGAGACTGGATTAAAAACTGTGTTTGGTATCACTTTGTGGTAATATTCAACACATAAGACAAAACTGATACGATTTTTAAAGCTTTTTGCATCCTTACACGAGCGCCATGATGCAAAATGCCGCCAAAATTAGTTATACCAATTTTCTGGTGATGTCCGTGTTGACCGAACTCAGTTTTAATACTGAACTGGTTGACGAGGAATGTTTTATAGGAACCTTAGTTTCTAAATTATCGGAAAATATATTTTATTTCCGAATGCTATATTTCGAAAGTTATAAAGTGCCAATTCTTTCGTTTTCTGAGTAGTCTTCGAAGCATAATTATAGCAATTTGCAATAAATTAAATTTTGAATACTGAAACGTGATACAAATTATTCATGTCCAACAAATGGAAGAGCGTGGGTTCATAAGTTGTCAAAACTCGAGGGTATTGCTCACAAATAAAGAAATATGCTAATCACTATTGTTATTGCGTGATCTACTAATTGCCAACGATTTCGATGCAGCGTTCTAAGCAAACATGTCGTGGACGATTTGCAGCCCTATACATGCACACATTTTGATGCGATATGATATTATCTAAAGAGGGTGTCCGCCAATGCCCCGGTCTACTTCGCAAGCCTGTTCGCAGGTGCGTGGTTTTACCATCTACAAGCAGTGACAAAAAGATTATGTTTTATGCCTCCAACATAAAGGAATAACAATATTCCACGTCTCTAGCTAAGTATTATTCTCGATTTTATTAACATCTGTAACACAGTTCGCACAAGAGGTTATTTTCACATATTGAATGTACTAAAACGTACCCTGGATCAGAGGGTTTTCTGTTTAACTTATTAAGCTACAGCTCGCACTCAGGCGCACACCCGAGCAACCTTTAAAACTTGCCTGACGCCAAAAAACTTCTGCATCTATGGTAACTCGGGATGCAGAGGTTTTGCACCAAAACTACCATCCTCAAAACTGATCTCATATTGAATGAAGTTTCCATTAAGTTTTCGAGACCAGTGACATGGATTTGTCATCA